TTGGTAAACGGCCGGGGTGCTATAATGTAGCGCACCGGACGTTACAACTACATTTTCTTATTTTTATTAACATAAAAAAATACGGTATTAAAAAATTCTTAAAAAATTCTCAGAATTTTGTGTTCTGTGTGTGAAAGAAAAAAATAATTTTTATCTCTTACTGTTTTTCTGTAAAGTTGATAGTATTTGAGTAAAAAATTATTGAAGACCAATATTAAGCGATTTTTAGTAATTAATATCTCGTTAACTATTGGGAAAAATGCAAAATAGTAGAAAACTTTTCGACTTAGTTTAGTCCGCTCAAGATGGGTGATGCCGTAATTTAAGTCCACTCTAGTATATGTATATTCTGGCATCTATTTTTACCAACATAAGAAAATACGATATTAAAAAATTCTGAAAAAATTCTTAGAACTTTATGAAAAGAAAATAAACAATTTTTGTTTCTTGTTGTTTTTCTGTAAAGTTGATAGTATTTGAGTAAAAAATTATTGAAATCCAATAGTCAGCGATTTTTAGTAATTAATAATAAATAGTTGTATATATATACAAAGTAATTATATTTAATGTAATTATAATAAACATTTTTTAATGCAAATGTTAATTCCAGAAATTTATATATATTCAGTTCATTTTTGTTTCAATTTATTATTCAACAGCAAAAAAACATGTTTTCTTTCCAAAATGAATTTTAAAGGGCCTAGCAGAATATATATGATGTAAATACTCCCACGGCTTTTTGAGTTGACCTTATTTTCTAAAGTAATTAATATAAAAAGACGCTTACATATCAAATTTTAGACTTCTATGCACCAATTCATTTTTCTTCCTTTCTCTTCAAGAGAAAAGAAGAGCAAGAAAGATGAACTGGTGCAAAAATTCAGCTAAAAAGAACAGGCCTTTACTAATGCAGCCAGTACAGTAAACTTATGTACTGAGTTTTGTTGCACTGGAATAAAAAACAGCGTCGCTGACGGCATTTTGGGAACAGAAAACGTTTTAGTATACACTTTTTGAACTAATGCAATTAGTGCATGAACAGAAAACAAACCTCAAAGTAACTGCCTTCCAATCCAGTGATTTGTAAAATGAAACCTTATGTTATGAAATTATTAAAAATTGAAAAATTTAGCTATCATTAACTTTTACTTTGTGATTAGCAAAACATTTCAATATAAATAAAATTTTATAAATAAATAAAATATTAGAGAGCTGATAAAAACGGTTTGTATCGCTCATTTTTTCAAAAAATTGATGAGAAAATGTAAATTTAATTTTTTTCAATATGGCCCACTTTTTGAAAAAATCTGAAAAAATATATTTTGTAGGAAGTTGAACAGAGATTCTCCCGTGTAATTTTTTTTAGATCAACGTAATCAGGGTAAAAGAAATGTTTAAAAATTATTTTCATTTTTTTAGAATAGAAATTCGCACCAAAAAAGAATTTAAAAAATATCCTTATTGATATCTAGATATAATTGATTTTTCAAAACTTTTTCAGAATTTTATTTGATTTTTTACTAACAAGTTAAAATCGGAAAGTTATAAAAAAAATCGTTTTTTCGCTCTAACTTGAACATGTCTATTGTCTCTATAGTAATCTGAAATTTGACATGTAAGCGTCTTTTTATATAAGTTACCTTAGAAAAAAAGGTGAACTCAAAAAGCCGAGGGGGTATTTTTACCATATTTATTCCGCTAGACTCTTTTCTTCATCGTCTTTTTACGGAGGTTGTAAGGCTGAGGCGGGCAGTGAGAGGAGAATGCTTTAATACAAAAGAAATACGGAGTGTAACCAACATTTGAACATTAAAATTAGAAGAAATAAATAGCTATAACTTAAAGAGATATGGATTATAATGCAATTAAAATTCAAAAAATATTAGTATTTATTTGTGTAAAAGT